TGAGGATCTCTCAACGTGCCGTTGAGAACTGCGCAACGCACGGTTGACTCTGCGTTCAACGACGTCACAAAAACCCATCGCCCTGCAGCTCTTATGTCCACTGCCCTTAGTTTTCTTTTTGCTCTCGATTTTCGAGAACTAATACTTTTTTATTTCTCACCATTTCCTGTCTTGATTTGCATTCTACGACTAAATTCCAGGGTGAGAGCATTTGGAGCGCTTGACAGCAGTCGGGCGCATTTAATCATCGGCAAAGAAGAACTTGTCAAAGCAGTAAGTTGTTCTGCCTCCCGAGTAGCATAGAAGTAAGACAGCAGAACAGTCTGTTCAAATCAGGTTAAACTCAAGCAATCGATACTTATTTACAGTATACTTGTCTGATGCGTAATGTGGTGTGCGATTTGGAAGAGACGAATTTGAGTATGGAATTGTTCTACATGAATGAGAAACAATGCCGGCTTACAATGAATGAAAAGATTCCATTGTCGCCTTTACCAGATGGCTACTACTTTGATGAGGTTTGTATTACTGACTTTCAGAAAAGCAATGTATAAAAGCATTCAGCATTGACCAACCAATTTTTGGAATGCGCCACGCATTCACCTTCCATTCACATTCGTAGTGGCATTTGAAATGCGATGTGGCCTATACAATGACTTGCGGGGGCCAGCCGATGTACAAGTCAGTGTTTTTATCCTCCCAGACAAGTCTGGTACCAATTAACCGACCCCGGAGGGATGGAAGGCTTGGTTGGCCCGGGCGACTCACGACCCAGGATTTGATCCCCGGACCGCTCGGTGGTGAGCGCGCCACTTGCCACTACACCACTTCCGCCCCATCACTAACTTACCCTCGCCTTCAAATGACCAGAAATTGTGCAATTGCAGAAATTGACGTGGCATTAACGTGGCATCGATTCAAGAACATCTTTGAGCACACGTGATGTCACCTTTTCATCGAGAATTTAGCCACGTGTGCCACGTGGATTTCTGGCTGCATGAAACAGAGGTTATAGAAGCTGTAATAACCACGAGCACCTGTCCCCCCAGTCAGCTAATAGTGAATTGTTTCTTCTGTTGTCACATCTATCTGCTGCTTCGGAAAAACTAGGAATTCGCGCAATTTCTTGTCTTTCCAACGGCTATTTCACGTACATATATATTGTATTTGGTAGCTCAGACAAAAACTGCACAGGGATCCCATTCTTGAAGGAGAACTGATCAACAGCACCTGGCAACATGCCCAAGACGGCGACCTCGAGCAAACTATGTGAATACTAATTTTCACTAGTTATTTTAAAACCAGCTCCTTCATATGTCATTCTTTATTCACCTCATTGTTTTTGATGAGTCAAATCGATTAGATAACACTGCATTTATATAATAAAATCGAAAAAATCATATGTGAAACTATTCCGGGGGCATCCTCAATTTTGTCCTCATTAGGGGGGCAAGAAATGCGGTAATGTCACGATATGTTACGGAATGGCTAGTTTTGAGCCATAGGGGTTTGGGACTCCGTAATATAATAATTTTTCATCCTTCCCAGAGTTTCTCCCCCTTCCGGGCTTAGTCCCAAGCAGGGTCAACCGTCCGTTGGACAAAGTCCAACGCGATGGCTCTCTAGCGTGTGAGAGTAATGCCGAGAGTGAACGTACGCACGGAGACACAGACGGCTCGCGCAAGGCGAGAGTGAATGCCGGCGCGGAGAGCGGTCAACATCGGTCCAACGTCGCTCCAATGTCGGTCCAACGTGAACGGTTGACCCTGGTCCCAAGGCCGAGGGTGAAAAATGAGCCAAATTTGAGATTTGAGAAGGTAACCGTCCAAACACTTTTGCATACATTGTGCGCCTACCGTACTCTGAAAAAACAAGCGTACCGCGTATTTGAGGAAAAAATCATGTAACAGTTCAGTTTTGGGTATGGGTCGCGAGAACAGAGGGCGACTTCTCTTCTTCCTTCTTCTCCATGCGGGACAACTTTCCACTGGTGACCATGAGTGGACCCGGGTTCTCGCAGCGAATATTTAGCGCTAGAAAAACGAAAAAGGCACTTCCATTTCTAGCGATCAATATCCCAGTTAATGACCTCATGAATTGTTCGGAATAATTCTCGTGTAAATACGGACACTTCTTAGAGCGAAGTTGGTACGACTGCCGTCGATATGTGTGCGCCACAACGGCACAGCAGTCGCGTTCGAAATGATGGATCCGGCCGGTTTCTTCAACAATCAATTCGTATTTCCTGAACATCGCCGAAAAGGCATTGGAGCTGCGATCGAGTCCAAGCTGATTCAACGTTGTGTGAGGTCGGTCTCCTGCAGAAGTGTCATAAGTAGCGATCATAAGATTGAGCAGTACACCCATCTGCAATAATGGGATCTTTCACTCGGCTACAAAAAAATCAAATTTATTTTCATCGAATTGTGCATTTTTTCAGTGTTGGCATGAAACCGTTCAAGACCGTATCGCGACAGAATCGTTCTGTTCTCTCGGCCACCTACACATCACCGCAATGGACGCAATGGAAGGAGAACGATCGACCGGTGGTGGTAATTTTTCAAGAATGGACGGTTCGAAATCGTTGAGGAAAAATCAACTAAGTTTCGATGGACAAAACCGCGAACATTCTGTTCGCCATCACTTGGTCACCACAGTGGCAAATTACTTAGCACTTTTCTGCATAACTCTGTGTCATTCTGTAATTTTTACAGTTACCCGTTTTTGATACTCAAGTAGTTGTGTGGTAGATCTTGTAAACATTGCATGTAATGGTTTCGTGCTTACTAGTCGGTGTTTACCTTGATTAATGTGGTAATGTATGATGTCGTTATTCATTTAGACTCATAGCTGTATTGTAACTTACATGAGTTACTAGTATTTATTTTGCTGTATTCCCTGCTGTATAATGGAATTTATAGAGCAATATTTGCTTCTTGATCTCGTTAGTGAGAGACGAGACAGGTACTAGAAAAGTACAGATACCCCATAGAAAAGTGCATATTATCGATATTGTTGTGTTGTTGCTTCTTCCGGGAAACGAGAAGAACAAACGTTTTCCGTGACGTTTGGTCCGAGAATAGAAAACACTTACTGCAGTGTAAGAACCTTTACTATCATAACGCACGTGGCGGTGACAGTGAAATAAAGTTTCGTTGCGATTTTTGACTAATCCTCGCAAATCAAATCTGTGTTGGTGTTGATCGGGAGGCCACAACGCACGACAGGATTTTGCTCGCGTGCGCCACCATGTGGCGCACGCCGCCACCCAGGGTAGGGTTTATGTAGGCTTATGCGAACAGCAGGGTTAAGACGGGGCTAAAGTAGGTGTCGGAGTCTCATCATCCGAAAAAAGAGATTTCCGTTGACGACAAGTTCGTAGCCCGCCTTTCCGCTCTAAAACTAGGGTGCAAAGAATGAATGGAAGCTGTAGGTGACATTATCGAAAAATGCGAAACAACAACCCTGAGCGAGGGAGGTGGCTATTTTCGGTGGACTTGGTCTCGGTACGTGTGGACAGTGGTTACGACATTCATCAAATAAGAGAAGCCGGGAAATAAAACCAAAGAACATGTAAAATTTATTGTAGGTTTGTCAAAAATCCAGCCGTCCAGGTCCTGGGAAGATATGTTATTCCACATTGCTGAGAGTATATACGGGTATATTAAGATTGCTAGAAAGTTCACAAAAACAAAAGAAAAACCCGTGAGCCACCATGTGGTGCACGTCGTTGTCGCGTGTTGAAATCAAGGATTCCGCTCGTACGGTAACGTGAGGACAGTTCAGGTGTCTGTCTTTATGACAGCAGTCGTGAGCGTTGCGATGAGCGACTCTGGCACCGCGCCAGAATTACGCCCCGTCTAAATCGCAACTGCAGTGGCAAAGTCTGACAACTGTTTTATTCGCGTGGTGCATTTGACGACACCGCTTCCTTCGCCGCTTGACCGCACTACGTGATCCTCTTGACCTGCACCCATCGTGTGCAGACAGGAATGGGCAAGCTAAGCCTCAAACAATTTTGGCTAGAGCAGATTTGATCTCGACATTTGTGTTTTGAAGAAGAAGAAGGAAAATCCACTACAGTCACAAAAGTGAAGCCCCAGCTCAATCGTGGTATAACGGTCCACAAGAAAACTTCCTTAGGCGTTCAAATTCACCAGCCGAAGGCGTTAAGGCTAGTGAGTGCACAAAAGCTCCATCTAGGGCCCCGAGGTTTGGTTCTGGAAGTGACGTCATAGCCCGGTCTGCTCTCGCTTGTATCCATAATCTCTTTTCAACGATTCCTTTCGCACTCCGCGCTCCTCAGCGTATTTCATCTTACTTTCGACTTTTAGACCCTTTACAGCTTAGAAAGAAACTACATTTCAGCGGTTTCGGCGGACGTTTGCCCTTTTTCTTCACTGTCAATCCACTTCGTACCTTCACCTTTGTTTTCGAGCAAAATAACCACATCGGATCGATTCTAGGGAATGCTTTCGATGACAGTTTGTTGATGAGGAGAAGAGATCGTTAGTTGGGAAAACTCTTCATTAAGGCTGGTGTCAGAGAACACGATCCGTCGCGCGACGGATAGCGAAAATCGAGGTGCCCCGATCAATACTGTGAAATATACTCCAATCCCGCCGCCATTTCTGCTTGGTAGGTGATGGCTGAATGACGACTGTTCATGATTCTACTTGTTTCATATTCAGTGTTTCAAATGTTCAAATGGGCACTTGCGATTTTTGCGAATCGCGCGACGGATCGCGGACTCTGACACCAGCCTAAGGTGATCTGTGATAGCACAGAAGTCGCAAATACTGTAGCACACAAGAACATCACCGGCCACTATGAACTGTTATATCGAGGAAGTTCGCGAGCGCACGGGTTTCCCATAATTTCTGCCCACCCCTTTAATTTGTGTTTTGTGCTGTGTTCGCAAGTCTTCCAAAGCAAAGATATTTACGTCCGCCGCAGAAGAATTCTTTTGGGCAAAACATGAGATCCAACTTACACACACTTGTTTGTTACTAATTAAAACTCTGTACCCTTGTGAAAGAAGTAGTTTCATTGAAAAATACCGGTCCATGCAAAAAATGTTAGGAGACCTTGGTTGAACTCACAAAGACGAGTTCCATTAAGGTTGCTGGCACTACGTAAAAAAGTCTCAGAACAAGTTCACTTAGTTGAGGAACGAATGAGTGTGTGTGGAAACATTTCTTTTATAGGACAATTTTATAGCACTATTTTGCTACGTTTTGTACTTCTAGCCGTCTACCTATTTACAATAACGAATTGTATTTTCTCATTTGAAACAGAGGGCTTGTCCTAATTAGACCCCAGCATCCGCCATGAGCTTATTCTTATTTATTGATGACTTAGACGGAGTAGTGGCCAGGGTGAATATCGCTTGAGGATTCCTCAACGGCACGTCGAGGATTCTCTGCCCGATCAGACACGATCTCTCGCGCGGACATTCACACTCGCCATGGGCGTGCCGTCTGTGCTCTCCGCGCGGATGTTCACTCTCGGCACTACTCTCGCATGGTAGAGAGCTATGGTCGAGGAAATCCTCTCGACCGTTATTCACCCTGGTGGCAAGTGATCCTCTGACATCCACTTCAGGACGGGTGACGCGGTCTCTGAAAAACAGACTAGCCTGGGGCAGAATTGAGGAAGCAGAGATGAACAGAGAAAATCTCATCCCATCAGGAAAAAACACTAGCATTACATCAGAAATGGGGAGCAGGTACTACCTTTAAGCAATGGAACTGTCTCGCACTCCAGGGGCCGGTAAAGGTATGCTCTCCTGTTCGGGGCGGGGTCCCCATCCCGGTAAGGTATGCTCTCGGGGAGAGCTTTCGGGGAGAGGCCACGCCCACCGGTTTGAGGGGAGATCCTCCCGATCGGCATGCGTTCGGGGCTAGCCGGGGCTACCATAGTCCAGTGGCCGCAGAGTGTGGATGGAATTGTCTGTCGGGCGCGCAATTCTTCTATGAGTCGCGCATGGCAACTCTGGAACTTTCACATTTGTGAGCATGTAATCATAATTTTGATGTGCACAGCAAGACAAAGAGCCGATCGATTTATTCTGAATGATTTGTTCACCAAGGATGTCACGTTGATTGGGATAGCAATCAAATCAAAATTATGAATATTATGTTACATTTTTTATAATTTTCGAGACTTTTGTGGCTTTTTTTTCGAAATGATGGACTATCGCATTGCTTGGTATTACCATGTTAGTCAGACCAAGCTTGAGGTACTCGTTTTTCACCAGTGAGTCAAGTTTATGCATTCAAAATGCATAGGACTACAGCGTTTGTTTCACGTTATTACAATATTATTTTTATATGTAACTATTGACTATTCAATTTAAAATCGGTTCTCTTGATTGCTCAGCTGAATTGTTTTGTTTGCTACACAACAAAAAATGGATTGAGGGTGGGCGCATCGCCGCGCCAAATATCCAAGGCATTCAAAACAATGGCAACTTTCTCATTTTCATACTAACCTAATTCTGCTGTACGAGCATATTGTTCCACAACCAGGAGCTTCGTTCCGCTTTGAGATTAGATTACTTGCCAGAACGAACTCTGACAGTGCGATATTCCTCCCTCCCTCCCCCTCCCCACCCCTACAAAACCTATGCGAGCCCTTTCTTCTACACTTCAAAATGACTTACTCTTCCAGGATCTCACACACTGCCAGACATTTAAACGAAGTCAAGTTGGGTAAGGCGTGTGTGTGAGGCATCCATAGTGCAACACCTCAGCGTGGACGCGCCGCGACGCTCCCTCCGACTAGATTTGCTCACAAAAATGATCCTTTAATAGTATCTACAATAGACAAGATGAGCTGTTCCTTTGATTCCATCATCTTACTTTACAGGTCTGTTTAACTGAGTTTTCGCAGACTTTTTACATCCAACTATTGCAATTTCCATAGGTAATACGTAAATGAAGTACTATCCTGTGAAGTTGGACCCATATTAATTTCTAATACATGAACGCAAATGTCCACGAAAGACTGTAGCTTTGCAGAAGATGCAAAAAGAAAAGCACAGGTTTTCCTCATTGCAACATGAGTCTACGGGTGTGGTTTACTAGGGCAGAAGGCGACTTTTCCGCGTTTCGCAGCGCGAAAAACTTTTAGTTGTTGGAGTTCCACTAATGATCAGCGGTGGACCCAAGGTTCCCGTAGCGAGGAATGTTTTGCACTGCAAAAGGCGAAAAAAAATGGCTCCCTGTCTCAATGAACTACACCCTGAGTCTACTGAAGAGCTGGTATGAGAAGTGATGTATAGCCGTAACATGCGATCAATGGAAACGATTGCTTCGCTTCTTCGCGAAGTAATCACTATTGGAGTTGGCTGAAATACTGACCGAAACCTACAGAAATCCTCGATGTTTTAGCCTTAGCCCTGCAGCGTTATTCAGTTGAAGTTTAAGTGGAATTCTTAATGCCGCAAGTTTTGCAGTGCACGCATTACACAGCCCTGATTTGTGAACGTATTTATGATGGATTTCTTGTTGTGCATGTCATAGACGCCTAAGGAAGGCAAAGTGGAGTACTTGCTTCTCAGCACTACAAAGGATGCAACCAACCA